CTGAACAGTCCCCCCCCCCCCCATCTCTCGGATCTGCTACAACTGTATGTCCCTCCACGTTCCCTGAGGTCAGCGGACCAATTGCTCCTCACAGTTCCAGGAACTCGTCTTAAGCGCAGAGGTGACAGGGCCTTCTCTGTAGCAGGACCAAGACTTTGGAACGAGTTACCTCTGCTTGTCAGACTGGCCCCCTCCCTCTCGGTTTTCAAATCCCGTTTAAAAACTCACTACTATTCAGTAGCTTTCAACACCACAGGATCTGTGTTTTGAACCTGTATGCTCCACACTGGTTTGTTGTCATATTTATTATCTGCATCGTTTTTATGTCTATATTTTTGATTTACTTCATTTCGTATATTGCTTCGTGTGTTGTCTGTTGTTCTGTCTGTACAGCACTTTAGTTGGCCTTGTAGCTGTTTTTAAGTGCTCTATAAATAAAATGGTATGGTATGGTATGAAGGTCCTAGAGAGACTTCTGTTGACCCACCTGACTAGACAAACAAGCACATATCAGGACCCACTGCAGTTTGTTTATCAGCGTGGACTTGGAGTTGAAGATGCCATCATACACCTGCTTCAGCAAACTCACTGTCATCTAGAAAAGGCAGACAGCACTGTGAGAGTCATGTTCTTTGATTTCTCCAGTGCATTTAACACAATCCAGCCTGATTTGCTTTGTCAGAAACTCCAGAAGACTCAGGTTGAGGCCTCAACAATCACCTGGATCAAACACTACCTGACAAACAGACCACAGTTTGTGAGACTGAAGGGTTGTGTGTCTGACCAGGTGGTCAGTAGCTCAGGAGCACCACAGGGGACTGTACTCTCACCATTCCTTTTCACTCTGTACACCTCAGATTTTCAGTATAAAACAGACTCCTATCATCTGCAGAAATATTCAGATGCCTCTGCAGTGGTCGGGTGTATCAGAGATGGACAAGAAGCTGAGTACAGGGAACTGGTGGACCACTTTGTGGCATGGTGTGGAAACAATCATCTCATCTTGAATGTGAACAAAACAAAGGAGATGATTGTAGATTTCAGGAGAAACAGGAACAGGTCCAACTCTATTTCCATCATGGGAGAAGAAGTGGAGGTGGTGGAGAAGTATAAATACCTTGGAGTTCACCTGGACAACAGACTGGATTGGAAATGCAACAGTGAAGCGTCTACAAGAAGGGACAGAGCAGACTGTACTTCTTGATGAAGCTGAAGTCTTTCACCGTTTGCAGCAAGATGCTGCATATCTTCTATAAGTCTGTTGTAGAGAGTGCCATCTCTTCTGACATCATCTGCTGGGGGAGCAGCACCAGAGCAAAAA